TAATGGCTCTGATCCTCCTCTGCAGGTTGTACCTACTGCAAAAAGCCTAGAGTGCAAGATATGGGTAATCACCAAGTGTGATGATATCTGCCATAATAACATAGGAATGATTTCCTATTGGCTGGCTGCAACCGTTACACTTATCTAAGTATCATATGAACCTTACAAAGCACAGCATGTCCTTCCTTACCAATACAAATAGCCAAATATAGGTGACTAAGTACTAAATAGATTCTGGATTCTACAACTCTGACAACAGGCAAGCTGTGACCTTTATAGGTTTCCCTTAAATTCAGTAGCAACAGCAGAAAGTTCACTTTGCTCAAGAGATCTGCTATTTTTCTTTCAAATTATAGGAAGTTCATTCTTTACTGTGACAACTAGATAACCCCATATGAGCAAGATAACTGTCATTATAATCTCCATTAATCCTAGTTATCTTGGTCTAATAAGTGGCAAGATACTGAACAACAGCACAGCCATCATTCATAATAATTTGCAAAAAATAATCAAGAAGAGAGTTTTTAAAATATTCACTTTTAAAGTTTGGTTCTTATTTATGTGGAAGATAAAATGACAAGCTATTGGTTCACTGGGAATTGAGGATTGTTGGGTTGGGGTGGGGAGGGTGGCTGAATTAGAGGATTAAGTCCTCAAGTAATAAGTCATTTTTGCCTTACCCCAAGATTTTCTAGTCTAATGCTCTTTGTATTAATATATGATATTCGGGTCTGGAATTTATCAGGTCTCTCTCAGGTTTAGGACTCAATGTTTTAAGGAAGACTCTGAGACATTGAGAAAAGATTAAATTAAACTCAGTATGTTAGATTCAAGCAAGCTGAACAATGGGTAAAATATTTTAGATTTGTTGCTTTAGAAGTACCTGAAAAATACAGCTTTTAGAAATGACTGCTTCCTTAGGGGTTCCACATATCTAAGGCTATATATTCACATAGAGATATTTCAGATAAATTCCTATATATTGTAACACTGTTCTTATATATTTGATGCCGTATTAAAAAACAGCTCAGTGCCCTAACAATGCTCCAGCTGGTTAAACATTCCAAAAGTACCAAAAAAATTTACTCATAAGCACTCATTCTTGAAAATGTTTTTTTTAAAAATAGGATGAGTCCATATGATCATCACCAATTCAAACACAATCTCTCCAATATTAAAAATTTGAATTTGGGGTAAGCCATTGATGTTTTTGTCTACAAAGAGTTGAGACAAGATTAATATGACACCTTGAATATCTATATCTTGGCCAACATATCTGTATTAACATTGTCCTTTTCATAATGATTATTATTCACTTTTAAATTTACATACAATAAAATTCAATCCTTTTGATGTACAGCTTAATTAGTTAAGACAGATATATATAGTCATGAAACCATCACCAAAATCAAGACACAGAATAGTTCCATCACTCCGAAAATTTTACCTCATGCTGCCTCTTTATAATCAACCCCTCCAGCGATCCCAGCTCCTAGCAACCACTAATCTGTTCTTATAATTTTGACTTTTATGGACTACCATATAAATGGAATCATACAATGTGTAGACTCCTGAGTCTAGATTCCTTCACTTAGCAGAGTGCTTTTGAGATTAATTTGTGTTATTGTGTTTTATCAATAGTTTGCTCCCTTTTTCTTGAAGAGTAGTATTCCATTGTATGAATGCACCACAGTTAATTTTCATCCATTGAAGGATGTATGGGCTATTTCAAGTTCTTGGCTATTATGAATAAAGCTGTTAAGAACATTTGTATACAGGTTTCTGAGTGCAAGTAAGTTTTCATTTCTCATGAGTAAATACCTAGAAGTGGGATTACTGAGTCACATGGTAAATGCATATTTAACTGTATAGGTCACTAAACTATTTTTAAAACTGGCTATACAAATTTGCATTCTTTTTTTTTTTTTTTTCTTTTTGAGACAAAGTGTCATTCTGTTGCCTGGGCTAGAGTGCAGTGGTGTCATCATAGCTCACTGAACACTCAGGCTCCTGGGCTCAAGCGATCCTCCTGCCTTATCCTCCTGAGTAGCTGGGACTACAGGAGCAT